ATAAATTATTTGTCTGATCACTTAATATTAGTAGGATTTGGATTTAGAAACACCTATTTGAATGTGTAGATGAATTTCTTGTTCGAATCATTGATAAGAGATGACTCTTTAATTAATTAAATGTTAAAGTATTAGGATTATGATTAGAAGTGTGACAACAATTGTTGATAATCAGAGAAAGAGAGAAGGAAGCTGAGTATTATTAGGAGATGCAACTTCTCACAAATTAGACAATTAAAATATTAGAAGATATGACTCACTTGTAACCTGCTTCGGTGAGAGTAGACTGGCCCTAAGTTTATTGATCATATAAATATTGTAAAACTTAGTGTGTTAGAGCATTCATTACATGCTTAATCTCATTGAACACAAATAATGATTTTGTTGCTTTCTACTGAATCGTTTCTTTACAATATTTTTGGTAGTAGAATTAAGTCTTTGAGAATTCTCAACTAGACATCCTGAAAGCTTGCAACTTCAGCTCATTATATACCTTTTAGATAATTATTATTTAGTAGATTATTTACTGCATAAAGTAGGCAAAATCTAATCGTTATTTTTGCTTAGTATTTAGAGTATTTTCCACAAGTAAGAGGAAGTTAGACCAACAACCTTGGATAGTTTTGTTGAGATGCAGATGATGATTTCATTTTGAATCTTAGTTAGGGTAGGTTGCTGAGTTATTTAGTATTCAAAGAGTCGCATTTAGCAATATAATACAACTATGCTTTACTTTTGAAGGACATAAAGTACATAATAAATTGTAAGATCCAAATTGCACAATTTGACATACAAACCCTCTAAAGAAGCTGAATCTATAGCTAATTAGAACACAACCTAGTGTCAGAGAAATATCAGATAAGATTAATACAAAATCATGTCCTGCTATTATCTAGAAAAAAAAAAGATTTTGCGATGTCAGCATTTGACAAAACAAGGAGAGAGTGTTGATGGAGAGAGCCATAGTTATAAAAGAATTGGGATGGAGTGAAGGAAACAAGGTAAGGAGTTACATATACGAAGTTCGTTAGGATTATCAAGGAAGCTAGTCTTTTGGTGACTACTGTAGAATGTAGATGAGTTGGGTTGATGCCTTTTCAACTGCACCAGCTGCAGAAAAGCTCATGAGCCGAACTCATTACTTTTTCATGTCCAACATATCCAACCCTTTATGTTCATGAAACTGCATTGTTGTGTATTTATTATCATAAAGAGAAAATTTTATGTTTAGTGAATAATAATAATGTAATTATTAGGGTGTTCTTAATGAAATATCATATAGTGTCAAAATTTTAAGGTTTGTTAACACTAATTCAGTATCCTTTCACAAATTTTGTCTCTATAATTTAGCCGCTTCTTTTCCGTACCCAAAGTTTGTGGCACCAATTATGAGACAATTTTTCCATCATCTATCTCTTACGTAGTCCTATGGTTTTGAGTCCAAAAATAATTATACACACATTACCTATTTGTTGAACTCAAATTCACAAGTTATGTGTACAATGGTACATAATTTTCATCAAGAACTCTTTGAACTTTTCTATCTTAATCTTTAAAAACCACTAAAATCCCACACCAGGTTAATCACAAAATTTTCCAAAAACTTAAGACTATTAATTTGTGAATAAAAATGTATAACAATAGTTATCACGCTGAACCAAGTCCGAATCTGATGATTGATCATCACTATCTATTATGTTCAATCAATCAATCATGAAAATATTCTCAAATAGTTACCTAACAATTACACAATACAAACAATGATGTAAGCAATATTAGTAGACTTCATGAATAGCAGCTGCAGCTGTGAAACCTTAAACATCTCTCCACCGGTCTCAAATACTTTATCTTTTGATGCCAAAGGATAAATCCGACACTTTTTTTTTGGTAACTGAATAAATTTTCATTACGAATTTGAATTTAGGTACACTCAACAATCCCAGGCATCCCCAAGAGTACAATGAAATACTAACATCTGCAAAACAGAACTCTCTCTACCAGCTCCCCATTGCAGAAAACAACTCACACGCCTTCTAACTTTCTAGAATGTTCGACCAAGAAAGTAACAAAGTAGGATGCATTTCGAAGTTGCGTGACATTGATTGAACGACAAGCGTTGGAATATACCCGCTCCATTATTTCGATTTTCTATACATTTCATTTATTTTAAAGTTCACTCTTATGTTATTTGCCCATAATGCCATCCACACAAAAGTCAAGAAATGAATACTCAAAAGAAGAGATGAAATTTTGTTCTTTCAGTACCTTCTTGCCCTGCTCACTTACAGTGGCGGAACCATAATTTCTAGACAGGTAGGACGCTAAGAAACATGAGCAAAATGTTATTCTAGAGGAAGATAAGTTTATTTTAAAAATATTTAACTATTTATAAAAATAGTTGTCAATTTGGAAACCTTCATTTTCTGAAGTAAAATATAGTTGTTTCTTTCTTAAGTTCTAGTTGGTCAATTGAATATTGTCATAGCCTTTAGTATCTCAAGTTTCAAGAATGAATTTGTTCGTAACGTTACACTTCATATCAATATTTGTATTATTTTTGTTATTTCAAAGGGGTTATCAGTTCTTGTTTTCTTTGAATATAACATAATGGGGTTATGGTCTCAAAGCCCAAAGGAATCACCAAGGCACTAAAGGCTTCCAAAATTTCAGGTTAGGCACTTGCCCAACCTAAGATGCCTTTGGCTCTGCCGCTGTTCACTTAGGTGATCAAGCTACCAAAGTCAAACTTGCATATCTTCGCCTTTGCTTGCCATAGTAATTATCTTCTTTGAGATTTCACCTTTTAGAGTTATTTGATGAAGTGCATAAATCTTTCGCCATATTCAACATAGTCATGCAACCCTTTGAGATCTTCTAAAATTCCGTACCGAAAGTGATAAGAATTCCGGAATAATCCAATTGGCCTCCTGAAATTAGATTCTTTGTCATCTCTGGAACATGCCTCACATTTGCTGATGTATGCTTCTTTCATTCGTTTGCTTTATGACAACATCACCAATGCCCGTGATTTTACAAGCCTGATTGTTCTCAAGATAGACAAATTTATCATCAACATGTCTATGAGTAGAAAAACATGATCGATCCAGACATATATGAAAAGGAGCACCGGAGTCCAAAGCCAAAGTGTCCGCACAAGAGGATTTCGTACATTCAAGACTTAATATAACTTCTCAATCTCCTACCAGACGGTGTTACCTCACTATGACATTCAACACTTAATATGACTTCACAATCTCTTCCGAGACAGTATTTATCTCACTACGACATTTAACACTTAATATGACTTCAAAATCTCCTTCAGAGACGGTATTTACCTCACCATTACCATATTTGTCTTTGCCTTTTTGTAACTGTTTGTCCTTTAATTGCCAACATTCATTTCCTGTTTGACCCGGCTTCTTGCAATGCCAGCAAATAGGCTTCTAGCCTTGTGACTTTGACTTCTCTTTGCTTTGAGACGTCCCCTTTGTACTAGAAGAATGGCCTCAAATCAATGACCGCCTCCATCTTCTAATGCTATTTCTTGTCTCAAGCCACTAGACAATTGATTTGTACTTTGTAGCCTTCTGAGTTTCCTCATTCAACAATGAACAACGACATCATTCAACTTATGAACTTGCTTCCCATGGTATTAGCCATGTTAGTAATAAGCGTATCCCAACTTAAAGGTAATGAACTCAGGAGGAGTAAGCATAGAACTTCTTTATCGAGGTTGATCTTGAGAGACTTCAATTATGCCGATATTAAATTGAACTCACTATTATGCTTTTGAATGGGAGAACCATCATGCATCTTCAAGAGAGTCTCTTCATAGCATGCATCTTGTTCACACCTGAAGGTTGCTCAAAAGATGACTCCAATCTCTCTCATAATTACAACGTTGTCTTGCGTTGATAATCATCAAATAGAATAGATAGTGAATTACAAGTCTGATCGCCACCAAACACCTCCTATCAAGTGCTTGTTATTCATGGTCTTCTATTCTAATCGGTTATGCTGATTTGCCTTGGAGAGGTAGATCCAGGACCTTAAAACCTAGAATATCCTCCATCATTATCTTCCATGCTACGCAATTTCCCTCATTTAGCTTCTCAAACTCCATTGCCTTTTCCATTTCCCACACAACACAAAAGAGAGAAAAAAATCTCTTTCAACCGATTCCACAAGCACCTTCTGTGCTTCTTGCTCAAACAATACCAAAGAGATCAGAAACCTCGTTCAAGCAATTTCACAAACATATTGTGTGTACATCGCTCTGATATCAATTGTTGGGAAGCATGGTGGGTTTAAGGATTCAAGATCAAGCGTTCACATAAAGAGGGCAATAACAAGTACAACCAACAACGGTAATGGTACAAAATTTGCGTGGTTTGTCTAAACACAAGCCTACATCCATGGGAGAGGAACGTCATATTGATTCTTTCACTATAAATGGGAGATTACAAGTACAAGATATTTCACCTCCAATAGGAGAATACAAAAACTTAAAGAATCTCACAAATTGTCTTTAAGTTGCGAAAATGCGCTCTACACCTCAAGAGAATGCTCCTCTCCTCCAACCTCCAACATGCTTCAAGAAACCCTAGAAATGTCTTTTCTCCAAGCCTCTCTAACCCACTTCATCCCTTTGGTAAAGGGCCCTCAACATATGACAACCATCAGATCAAAAACTAATCCAATGGCTTATATTATACGTGAGCTAGTGGCTACTACGAATGGGTCCATGGTTGACTTCACCAGTCCACTCAAACCCAAATTCAACATTGAGTATTATAGTTATATGGTGTATTAGATAAAAGCATATAACTAATCTATAGCTTTCATGAACTTAATGAATCTTTTTGGGTGACTGCTTCGAGAGCTCTCAACCTGGCATTAACAGAAAGTACTGAATAGTACAGAAACTTTTGTTGCATTAACTAATACGTTGACTGTAACTACTGAAATTGAAGCATAAAAAACAATGTGTGAGTTTCATATTTGCATGCTTTGAATGTGTTTGATATTACTATACCCACAGAAAGTAATTACATGTTGGATAAGCATACGACATTTTGTAATGCCATTTCTCAATATTCATACACAATATAGCCTAATGATATTATCTGTATCAATCTGCCCAAGCTTTTTGATTGATTCGTCTATGAAAACATAATATACCACCAAAGTCTGATATATAGAAAGACAACTGACTATGATATTATACAATTCCTCTAATACAGAAAAAACGTTAACCATTTCTCTGGGTGAGGCCAAGAATGGTGGATACCATCAAGTTGCAGTCAATCGGTTTGGTTAGATATGCATCCATCCCAACTTCCAAGCATTTGGCTTCATCAGATGACATTGCATGTGCTGTCACTGCTACTATTGGGATATGCGAGCCAGTTCCTTCTTCGAGTTTTCTGATTGCTTTTGTTGCTTCATAACCATCAAGCTTTGGCATCTGCAGAGCAAGAGTTTGAAAATAATATTATACACTGATACCAAGATAGTCAGCATATTAAGTCCTAACAAATTGAAACATAAAAGTGAATATTAGCCATCTTGTGTAGTCCCTTTCACTGTGATTTTTCCCACCTTTAATTCTATGATATGTGAAAAATAAGGGTAGCATCAGTAGTAAATATATGTTGGATCCTCTTGCGTTTCCATCTTTTACATGCTGCCCATCTTAAGAAGTTGGAAGACTGGTAATGACAAGTTTGAGCTGTCTCCTTATTTTTTAAAAGATTCAGATCTAATGAGAACAAGCTGGCAAATGACTCTTTGGTAAAATGCTGATGTATATACTTACTGTACTTCGTATCCTTTCTGACCTGGAATCACTTAGCTTATGGGTGTTGGATCATGTGTGGTTCACTGGCTGTGGTTAAAAATCTGTAAGAGAAGTGCCGAAACTAGGTGCAAATGAAAGTTAAAACTTACATTAAATACTATGTTTTTCTGTCTATACCCTATTAGTAAATAAACAAACAAATCACTCCAATAAGTAAAAAAGATAAATCCGTGAAATTGCAGAAAAGAGATAATTATCAGAAGAATAAAAGACAAATGGGATTGCAACGAATGAAATAGCTAAAAGATACTACAACGCAACAAACAGAGACAGCAAAGCCTCTCCATTGTTTAGATCTTTAAGGGGCTGCCTCTGCCTATTAAATTAGCAATCATCATTGTATCAACTAACTAGAAGATATATGCTAGATATTAACATGAAAATATAATTCTGAAAATGATTTTGAAATTAGACTTCTTTTGCTAATTCTTACCTGGCAATCCATTAGAACCAGATCAAATGGTTGATCTTGTTGGGGTTGTTTCGTTGCTGGTGTTTTTCCTTCTTGGTGAAATAAAAATTGTCTTCTGCCATCTTCTGCACAAAGCATGCATTTCAGAACATCTACTGCCTGCTTTCCATCTCCGACAACCACTACCGTGGCTCCCACCTTTTCCAGCATGGCTGTAGCAACTCGCTGTAAGATTAGATTATCTTCTGCAAGCAGGATATACAAGTCATCAAGAGCCCCTTGGTTAAGAGCCACCTTACTTGAAACTTTGTTTTGTTCCCGGTTAGTACTGTCATAATCATCTAGGTTATTATTTCTGTCTACAACTTTCATTAGCCTTTCCAAACTACATTCTTTTTTTACTTGTTCTGAACGTCGGATGCCTGATGTAGACTCATGTTTTTCCTCTGCCAGCTTAACTGAGTTCTCTTTGTTAAGTAAAGTGGAGCTGGAATGGTATTGGTTAAGTTCCTCAGCCCTATTTTCTTTCCCAGGCTGCAACTGATTTACCTCAATTATGGTATCATTAATTTTCTTTGAGGATCCAATTGCCAAAGGTTGCTGAAAATCCTGTAATTTTTCTGCCTTAACTATCATCGTGTCTTGTTTAATTACCTTATGTCCATAGCTTTTTGACGGGTCTGTATTATTGATTCCACAATTGAGAGCATCTGGTAGCTTTGATACAGTTCCTGTCAGTGAAAGATGAGGGTTTGGGAGAATGTCAGTCACAGTGACTTCATGAGTTGACTCGTTTACTGAATATGGGATCTGGCGACAGGAATAATGAGATACTGAGCTTTTTTCTCTAGTTCTTTCTCCAAAACTGACTTCACTGCTTCGGGAGTGGTAATTTTCAACATCAGAAGACTCATCTGAACTGATATCTTCAAAGTGAAGGGGTTCTATTTCATGCAACTCGTGTAGACCCTCTGGCATTCCCTGAGCCCCACATCTTTGATTTTCTGGACTCTCCTCTTTGATGACAGTCTCCAGGATCTGTATCATTTTTGTTTTATATAATGGCTTATTAGCCATTATATAGTGCCCTCTTCTTCGCAACTCCACTTTAATAGAATTAGAGGTATCATGACTCAGTATCCATGCAAATTTTGCTTTTTCACGATATCGATCAAGAAAAATCAGCTGTTCACTCCATATGTTTGTGCTCTGATCTAGTAGACTTGTGTCAACAACAATAACAATGCTTGAACAGTTCATGTTTTGATCTTTGGTTTGGTTGGGGGCAGCTTTAACTTTGTTAAACTTTAAAGATGTTGAGCACTCTTCAATTCCACCCTCAACAGTAGTATCTCCCTTAAAAATTTGTTGAAGAATTTGTGTCAGTCCATTCCATTCAGATGCTTCCCATGTGAATATTCCATTTGTCTTTAACCACTGTGATGTTATGAATCTGCCTTTGCTGCCTTTTAGTGCTAGTAACACCTGCACATGCAATTCTAGTTATTACCACCAAATAGTAAAAGTAGATTAAAGTAGCCTAACAATTCACTTAGCATGCATATATTGGATTTTAGGCCTCTCTTGCTTGACTTTAAGTACACTACATACAAGAGACTGAGATTGTATAAATACTCACTATCATATGTTTAAAGTAGATGGACAGGCACAGTCATCCCGTAGAAAAGTTAACAGCTATCTTGTGTCTAGAATTTGCTTGTCATTTCTGCCTTAAATATTGACCCAAACCAAGTATATGCATAAAGAAAACGTAATATCTTATGACTTGCATCTGTTTGCTTACTGCTAATTGATTATATCCCTTGCAGTTAGCTTTCTAGCTTTATAGAGAAATGGTGGTAATAGAAAGTACAATACTAAAACCAACACTCAAAGCATGTCAGTCAAGCTATCGTACTAACAACACAAAGCACAGATGAGTGTATTCTGAGTTTGGTGTTTTTCGCCAGTTGAAATGATTAAGATTATATCCTAGTTTCCTTTGTCCAGAAGCTATGGATGAGTTATATCTTTCTTTTTCTCCCAATTATTTTCAAGAATATGCTGCAGTAAATAAAGCAACTTAAATAAGTAAATTCATTTACACTAGAAGGAGAGTTAAGGCTCTGGAAATACAATCAGCTTCACTCACCATTACATTGTATTTGCTGAATTCTGCTTGGAAGTGTTTCTCTGTGCCACCCTCAGACATTCCAAGAACCAAGTATAGTTGCATCAAAGTCCCTGGTCCATCCTTTCTAGTAACTTTTATTTCTCCTCCCATCTTGTTGATCTAGGATTATTCACAATGTGTAAAATGTTAATATTTTGTAAGAAATGATTACATGATTTTAAACGACCAACCATATAACCATTTGTGTCCTGCATGGAGAAGAGGGTCATTTCATATCTTAGACATGGAAGTCATAATTCTCTTCAGCACACTTTAGATAAACAAGAAAGTATTTTCCTGACTAGCAGTAATTGGTCATTGTCATTATAGGCAGTCTAAAATTTGGAACACCTATCAACTGGAACTTCTAGTTAATACAAATTCATTTATCCAAGTGCAAATTTCCTCTATTTCCCTAGACTTCATTCTAGTGACTTTTAAATATTTCCTGGCCAATTTTGTAAGTAAAGGTTATTACCTATTCCTGAAGTCTCTAATATAGAAAACTTTCCTTATTAGTATATTGTACTGACAATTCATGTTCTGGCCTCAATGATTGGCAAAAAAGTATCTAAACAGTATTGCAAAGAGTTGAGATTACAGTTGTGCTTACATAGCCTAACAATGAAACTTTTCAGTCTACTTTTTGCACAAAAATTGAAGATTCAATGTGGCATACCTCTGTTAATGGAAAGCGTCTCTTAAGCATGTGAACTTCAAGAATCCTATTTAATTTGGGAAAATACTCAAGTGTTGACCTTTCGTCGTATATCAATTTATTCTGTTTATTATGAATGCATTTTAAAATGAAAAGAGTACGACTTCAATTTATTTTAGTTGGACAGCTGTGTGATGCTTCTGCATCATTTATCGTATTTGCTTAAAAACATGTAATGACAATTTTCTTATCATAATTATGGAAGTTCTACAGTTCCAAAAATTAATTAATGATGACATGAAAACAGTTGATTCAAATAATACAAGTACTACGACTCACCAAATTTCGCACAATGCATAAGCCAAGTCCAGTGCCTCCATGCCTACAAAGTTGCACAGACTAATTATGCTCTTTAATGCAGTCAGAACAGTGAACAAGTAATATATCAAATAATTTTCTTACTTTCGTGTTGTTGATGGATCAGCCTGCTCAAAACTTTCAAATACAGAATCCCATTTACTAGGATCAATCCCTAAACACATATAAGAAGTTAGCTGCCTTTTACGTAGAAATGATACGATGAGGATATGAACCAAATGGCTTACCACAGCCTGTATCTTCTACTTCAAACCAAAGAGTTATTCTATTGTCTTTCCTGCGTTTTCTTTCATCACTCTCAGCTAGCCCAGACTTTCTTATGAGTGGGTACTGCATCATAAGTTGATTGTCAGGCCGATTAAGTCCAGTGAAATCTTCAAAGCTTTCACACCATCCACGCAAGATAACATGACCCTCTGAAATCATCAACAAAATATTGTTGAAAACTTCATTTACCTTGGTGAAAATTTTTAGTTACTATCTGTTATATGTGGATTTTTTTTAATGAATTGCTCTTTCAGATATAGAAACACTTAGTCATTCTCATGGCTGTAATTGCATAGCTCTTTTGCTGTGAGAGGAGAACTTTACATTCTCTTATTCACCTCCACATGAATTTGGTAACTTTAGATGTGATTTTTTCCAATCCTATTTGATGGAGATAGGCAACCCTTTTTAATTAAATAACTTTCCGGATTGTTGTTGCAATAGTAATCTGAAGATCATTATCCCTGAATGCTATTATTTTGTTGGGGTTGCACAAAGCCCTGATCCTGCCAAACAGGTGCCTTGAATCAGGAATGAAACCCACTCCATTGAACTTTTAGAATGGAGATTTAGGGGAAATTTCTTTAGATGATTTACTTCATATCTCTCGAGCAAAGTTCCTTTGCTATTCTGCAAGACATTCTAGATATCCAATCTTCCTTATGTTAGGACAGATTTTGTTGGTTATTAGACTCTATTTTTTGTTTATATATCCTGGTTGATATTTATAAATTATGAACAATATTAAAAAGAGCATTCAGGAAGAAGTGTTGCTTGGCCTACCTGGCCTGGTGGTTAATACCCTTTTTAGTCCATTGTTGGGTGCTAATTTTCAGTTTTGATGGTATCAGAAATATTGTTATATGGCTTTCCTACTTTGCTAGCATTTCGTTTTTTCCTCCTAAATTTGTTGCGTTTCATATTTGTATCTCTTCTTAATATCCATTCATGTATGTCACCTGTGTAGCACGGTGGCTCTATTCTTAATAAATTACATGAAAATTCTTATTTAGTGTATTATTTCTTCTTCTTGTAGCTCAACCTTGGCTTATGTTAATATTGGCTGAAAAGCAAGTGCCACTGTACGGCTGGGTAAGTCCTCCTTGCAACGTTTTCAGGATCAATTTTCTCAGTATTTTAATTAATAAGGAACATGCTATTTCATTTATATAGCAAAACTGGCCTATTTAACTGAATTTACATGATTTTGACGGGACTATTGGTTCTTGCTACTTATTAGGAATGCTTGGAGAGGCTCCATGCAGGATCCTTGACATCTTTCCTCATCTGTTGCATGATTAGTTCTCGAATGATATATTATTTTATGTATTCTTGAGGGCAGTTCTCTGTAGAATGATGTCGACCATATATTTATTTTCCATTTGGATAGCTTTGCTTTCAACATTGACCATATGCTTAGGCTCAACGTTTCTTTAGTTTTGTTAATCTTTATATAAATTGTGCTCCTTTCTTGTGTTCGTCTATCACTTCTTTTCTTTATATTCTTGAGGTAACTCATAATTCACCATCATGCAAGATTGCATACATCATTCAGCAGTTGATATTTTTTTGCAATTTAAGATGTTTTCCATTTGACATGATATCTTTATTTCAATGATCCGATTATTGATGGTAATAAAGAGATTATAAAAGAATTGTGGGTTCAATTTTTTAATTAGTCTTCAACAAATCAGATGCTTCTTCCTGTTTTTAATGGTTTATTTGTTTATTTGATTTAGTGAAATAAACACTTCTTAGCTGCAGTCATGTAGATTGCATGAATGATTAAAAAAAGGACAAATTTTCAAAACAGTTCTAATTGGACATTTAAGCCCTAAAACCAACCTATTTGGAATTTATTTGTAAAAACCGACCTGACCAGGTCGGTTTTTGCAAAAAAAATTTCCCAAACTTCACGGAAGTTCAACTCCCGTGAAGTTTAGCAGCTTTTTT